AAAATTTACACAGCCCGTATGACGGTTTTAAAACTCATTTGGCTCGAGATCTATACAAATTAGTTACTATATGTTCCTATAACATATTTCCGAAATACTTACTCGCTCCAACAAGTTAGAACAAGCAAGCAAGTTAGTCAGCAAGTGCTTCTACAGAAAATTTTTGAAAGATTTCTTTGCTCCAGAAGTTGGCCGATAAGTTGTTACTAAGGAGAGATGAAAAAGTGAGAAAGATGCTGTTTGATATTATAGCTTGTTATTGTTTCTTGTCTTGGAAACGTATTCAGATTTCCTGCCGGCAGTTACATTGAAATTTGTTTTAGATACTGGCTGCTAAAAGTTATTGAATTGTTAATTAGCAGTAAGTGAAGTTTATAAACCGGAAATAAGAAAAAAATGTGATATGTCAGAGCACTGGCTATATCAGTCCTTCTTCAGATCCTATATAGCATACTCCTTCAGTGACTGGACTAGTTCTATATCATAAATAGTCACTTGTTATGATGTAAATATATGGGAATTCTTAATTTAAATTTAATTTTGCAGATTTATTTTAGTACGCGGTACCTCGTGTCGAGTAATAATAAATTTTAGCTATTATCTTATGCGTGTGTTATTCTACGGAAGGAACAAAAATAAATAAATAAAATAATAATTAATTAATAATTCAAATTAAATAAAATGTAAAGAGATAAATAATAAATTAGATTAAATTAATGACAAATAGTAAATAAATAATAAATTAAAATACTCAAATTTATCATATTTGATCTTCAGCTCTAATGACAGTTTCATTCAAAAACTGAGAATTACCGGAGAGAAGCTTCAATGGATTCCGGCTGGATGTAAGCCCTGAAGATAAGTACGAATACTTTTCATTATTCTGGTGATAAATTCTGTTGATAAATATAAATGCTTTTCATTATCCTGACGATTTTAAGTTCATGTTTACAGACGCACTTCGAAACAGGTATTTAGGAAGCATAGAAAATATTTATTTCTACATGAGCCAATTAATAATATTTATCTTCTTTGGGCCTTTTTTTTTTTTTTTTTTTTGTTCCGGACGATTTAGCACTTATATTATATTCTCTTAATTAATTTCAGCTGATGGAACAGCTGAATATATATATGTCTTAGTAGTTTGAAGGTTTTTCTAGAATCTCCCGAAGTCCATTATATCAATTATAGTACTTCGTTTCCTGTTTACGTAATTAGCCGGATGGAAGTAAACGGAAGAATATGGGAAGTAGGAACGGAATGTGACTATAGATTTTTTTTTCCTCGTGTGCGCTAAGGATCTTAGAATGAGGATGTTTTTTAGAACCGCACTACAGCCGTAAATAACAATCATGATAAGTAAGATAACTTAGAGGTCATCCCATGATTTTGCACGTAGTAACGTCCAATTAATTTTCATTCAAGTAACAAATTTATGGCGATGAACAACTGCATCACATTCAACTACTTGAAATTTCGAGCGCTGAAGAGTAGCTGTTATGACTAGACGATGCGAGAGGAAAAGTAATGGAAAGAGGAGAGTTTACCGAGACAGAAAGGAGTTCATGTCTTTGCTTGTCGAAAACTCTTTCCCTCGTGTTTTCCTATAATAACACTAAAAATATTTTCATACCATGAAAATTTAATTTAAAGCTGTTTAATTATAACAGAGACTGCGAATTGATAACGCTAATTTCACTCAGTTCATCAATTCCAAAATTCCGAAATGTTCATTGCTTACACGACTTCATTTGATAGTTCCCGTATGCTTTTATAGATTATGAAATAAATAATGATAATAATCTTTTTATAAATTTCCTTATTTTATCTTACACACAGCTGTAAATGTGTGATAACCATGCCATTATATAAAAGACATAAATAACAGAAACCAAACCCAAATTATTAATTTAACTTGACAGATTTTGATACATAGGGTGATTCAAACACATCTGTTAAAAATGGTAAGATGCTTAGAGGGGATAAAAATAAGCAGATTTTGTAATGAAATGCGTATGTTGAAATAGTGCGTTTAAGTGCTACGGGTTGTAAAGTTACGTGCGTTATAGTGGTAACAGGGCGTAGAGAAGGGAGGGCAAGGGGGACATCTGTCGCTGAGCGCAGCATCCAGGGGGAGTCGAACTGATATTACGAAATTTTAGAATTAAATATTTTCCATTCTTAGCAAACAGAAGGGAACGCAAAATTTTCATCTGTTCCCGGGCACTGAAAATCCTAGCTACGATTCTCAGTGGTATGGCCGGTAAAGTTCCTGAGCAGTAGGTAAAAAAGCACTGTTGGCATAAATTCCTCATTCTCTGGCCGAATTTCGACAGATATACGTTTGGTTTCTTTAATTATAGCAAAGCACATTAAGGCTATCTGCATAAGAGGAGGGATGCCTTCGTGGAGGGCTTTCTTAGGCAAACTGGATCGTATACATGCTACACATGTGGAAAACCACGAAAATGCTCATGCAGCCTGCCCGTTCGCCGGAATTCGAGTTAAATTACTTTATACCGCTCGGCTGCTGGTGCTTTTCGAGAGGTATACATAGTTACCAGAAGGCTTATCTCGGCTCGAAAATACGTGCCGAGTGGGATACCGTTACACCACAAAGACATGTAGGATGGAGGAAGAAAATGCCTTATAGCAGTGGTGCCCAACCTTGTGCTCCCAAGCACAAGTGTGCTCGCCGATCGTTTTGTATGTGCTCGGCAGCCCGATTTGGTACTATGAACAAAAAATATTTAAAAAATAACCATTCATTTATAATTCTTAATTGTTAAAATGTGGTAAGCATTTATAGTCATAAGAGATATCTTGGAAGACGTTATATAATAATTGATTGCTGACTGATGAACATGGAATCTTATTGCTTCGTTCCGATGAAGTACCTTTATAGAACACAGTATTGTATTAATACAAAAACATATATAAATATATTACGTGCACCAATACAAAAACAAATTTATTTTACATGATTACACCGGGTCATGTGTCCTGCAACGATTTCAGATAAACACGGTTCTGTTGTTAAAAGGCATGAATATTGGGAAAATAATTTTATACAGAGCAAATGCAATTGTTTAGACAGAAATTGAAAAAATAAATATATAAAAGTATTAACTTTAGAAATGATTACAATGCAAGGATATTGCTCAAGCAGAACGAACACATCGTCGGGCATGTCATTAATGTTAATGTCCTTCTGTCACAGCCTTATTAAAATTCACAAATCACATACAAACGCGTGGTTCAATGGAATTTGAATAATAACCTTAAAGCATTATCCAGATTTAATGTGTTTAGAATGTATGTTTCTATTACCGTATTTGAAACAATATTATTCAGAAAAATTTCAGTTATTGAACGAAAAAACAAAACAAAACAAAACAAAACAAAAAAATGCCGTTAAGAAGCTAATTGCTAACTATTTTCATTATGAAATCAATTTCCACGAAAAGAAAGGGCAACTAACATTTTGATTTCTAAATTATTAAAAGTTCTATTTCATATTTTCCCTATTCATTTAATGTACGTAGAATTTAAAGTCACATTTTAAAATTTAGTGTCTAAATTTTTTAAAAAACTTTTAAATTTTTCTGCAACCGTACGAGGGAATGGCATGAGCCATCAGCAACTCGAGCGCCACATTTTATTTACCTGCAAAATATTTATGCCTATCTCGGTATCCTGAAAAGTGGTGTGTTGGGAATTTAAAAAAAAAAAAAAAAAACTTAGTGAAAAATGCTGAATTTTTTTATTTTAAAATAAATTATTAATATTTTCAATCAATAACCTGAAGAAATGGAAAATATTTGCAAAAATACAATTTTATTTACTGACCCATAAAAGTGCACTAATAATCACAAAGAATTTTCATCATGCCAATGAAATTCAGATTTCAGTTCAAAACATTTTTATTACTAACTTTTTAAATTCCAAGCTTACGCTAATTAACCCGAATAAATTATCTAAACAAGAATATTTTCTAGGATTTTTAAAAAAACCATTGAGCATTTATTCAGAAACTGCAAATAATACAACTAATCTCCTTTTTCTTTTATTCGGTTTTGAATTATGTGAAACGCTTAATATGGTAAAAGCTCACCCTGCGAATTTCTCTGTCATAACGACAATAAAATTAATCTCCAATTTTGCTGAAATTATTTTCAGCTACTTTCATATAAAACCGAGATATATTTTATTTGGCAGTTCTGAAAATAATATTAAGTAAAAAAAAAAAAAAATTGACTTCATTCTATATTATATTGCAAAATACAGTTCCATTCCATTGCACACCAAATGTGGAACACTGGACGAAAATCTTTAAGACTGCATAAAGTTGAAAGAAATAATTTGCAAATTATTTACGTTAAAAAATTCAAATACATTTTCACAAAAAGCTCGGATTTTTTTTCTTTTTTCTTTGGAGGGGAGGGCGAAGAAATATTCTTTAAACTTTTCCAATGAAATTACATCTGAAAATGTGAAAACCAAATATATGACCAGACTTTAATTTAGAAAATGAAGAAAATCTCACAAGTTGCATATATAAATATCTAATTTTTACAGATGTAGATACAAAGGTAAGAATTAAAAATTTACAAGCACTATATATTAAAGCTCCTAGTTCTAATAAACATTGTTACTAAACGTCTAAATAATTGCAATATATTTTATATTTAAGGCTTAATTTTATTCAAGTCAATGAAATATTCTCATATGCTTTTGGATGTAAAAATTTTATAAGGATATTTTTTTTTAACTATATATTCACAACAAAACCCTTAACGTCTCAACTGTAAAATTTCCAAAGAAATCATAAGCGTTTTTTTATTCTAGAAAACATCTCGACGATTCGATAAAAACGCATCACTCATGCAGTCAAAATTTTACTTCCCGAAATTAAAACAAACTAGTATTTTAACCTACAGAGCATTTCTGTTTAACAGGTAATATAAAAGTTAAGAGCCTTTAATTAATATAAATGTCAATCAAATGCAAATACTCACGTCTTTGTTTCTTGTCGAAAGCATGGATCCCCGACCAATTTTGACATTCTCGCCTTCGAAGACCACACCAGAGGGTGGAGGTACACTATAATCCACATAATCCTCATCCTCATCATCCGTGGCGACCCCATTCCCATTAAGGACTTCTTTGCCGTCGACGAGGAGGGGTCGTTTCTTGGGATGCAATGATTTGCACCCAAAAGGTGTTGGTAGAACAGCTACATGAGGCACAACATCTTTACCTCGAAAATCAAATACCATTGAAGTCACTGGGGAAGTCGATGTCTGTGCCTTTTTTATGGATTTAATATCACGTTTCACTTCAACTTCCACTTTTACATCAATCGCAATGCTTTCTGAAACGCCATTGAGTTTTTCGCCGTCATCTTTCGCTTCTTTATCGAGACCATTGCTTTCTGCAGGTATTTTATCCAGACAGACCATGTCTATTACTTCAGAAGCACGTTTTTCAACGTTTTTGCGATTGTTATCTTCCACTATCTTCCCTAGGTCATTCACTCGCTCTTGAGATGTTTGACTATTCCCATTAAGTTTGACATCCTTCGACAGTTCGTTCTCACTTATTAACCGGGATTCTTTTTCCACTTCATTGTTCACTATCTGCTTAGAGTTTATTTTAGGACAGGCAACGGTATTGGATTTTGGTTTAACCAGTGTCGCAGGTTTACGATCGTTCCCCTTAGGTTCATGTGACTTTGCAGCGTTCTTCAAGAATGTAGGTCTGTTCGGGGGCACTTTGGGCTTACAGTTTGTTACACTGTTATTGGTGATGATACGCTTACCAGAATTATTCAAAGAATCTTCAACTGTTTTAGTTTTAAGGAATTCTTTGTTGCTGGTGTTTCCATTGCAGATAATGTCCGCGTTATGTACGAAATGAATTTCCTTTCTGCTCGTATTATTACCACCGAAGACAGCTTTTTCTGCCTCTTTACATAAAGACTGATTGTTGCTCTTTTCGGCTTCCTTCCCATTGCACAAACCTGGCTTAGTGATTTTTAATGGAGTGGCTTTCACGGTATGATTTCCATTCAAAAGTGGTTTTTCACTGTTTCCATTCACAAGTGGTTGTTTTACAATCGAACTGGAACAAATGGCAGATTCTTGATTGATTTGAGCTTTAACGGGAGCAGACTGTTTGGCACTGAATTTGTTTTTCGTCACTATTCCGTTCACTTTGGCACTCGAACTTGGTATGACTCCATTAATCTTCGAGGCCGCAAGGACCCCCGACTTCGCACTGGCCCTCAACACAGGAGGCCTTCTACTGTGAGAGCCCCTTCTGGACTCAGCTGGTTCGAACATCCGCTTGTAGGTCTTAACCGTGTCAGGTTTAGGTAATTCCTCATCGCAAATAGTAGGCACTGCCCGATTCAATCCACCGTCTCTCCTTCGAATAATTTTCGGTTCCTTGATACTGGATTCGCAATGCAGTTCTGCATTATTCGGTGCAGCCTGGAGGTCCATGAGCAAAGTATCCATGCTCTTCGCACGTTTCAGGTTACCCCATATGGTGTTCTTTCCCTCATCGCTCTCATCACCAAGCCTTTTAGCAGTCGAGAAAATATTACCCCTGCAAGGCCTGTCCTGGTCCAGCAAGTTCTCCATACTACAGGACCTTCTCATGCCACAGCCTCTATTCTGCTTAAGGCTGATTGTCAGGAAACGCGTCCGTAGCTTGTTGACAATTCCCGGACCATATTCAAGTTCTTCTTCTCGATCATCATCTTGATATCCAGTAGATGTAGATTCGGTCTCCGCATCTTCAGAGCCCGATGAAATGGTAGAAGAATGTCTGTGCCGACAGGGGAGGTGGACATCATTGCATTTCTTTTCCGCACACGTGGTCCTGTCTTCCCCCATCGTGTGCGTCCGAAACGTGAGGCAACGCGCGCCGGTGGTATCCGTTGTGGATGTGACTGCCCTCCTCACCGACGCGAAGCTTTCTCAGTCGCTCTGCCGCACACGACCGAGCACCGTCTGACACGAACTCGAAACTGCAGGGTTGCCGCTTTTTCTCTTTCTCACGCGGTCGCCAATTTGGCGAGAAAGTTCGTTGAGAAAGCTCGCGCTTCATTTCCTTTGGCATTCTCTGATCTGCAACAGGAAATGAAGAGCTTTTTAGAGAAGACAAAAATAATATTACAGATGTCTGTGAACACGACACACATTTCTGCTTCGTTTCGATTCTTTATCTGATCTGTAATTAGGAACGGTCGCAGAATTTTGTTACATGGTAATTTTAATTAGAATGAAATTACCTTTCAAGTGCTTGTCACTTGCATAAGTTTTTTTTTTTTTTTTTTTTTTTAATGAAAGTGTTTACATTGAATATAAAGTGTAGAAAAGTGCTTTAAGAAATACAGTACTGTGTAATAATATTATATATTTATAATTATTTACAATTTCTTAAACTTTTTGAAGTAACGTAAAATATATTACTTTGTTGTCAATTTAATACTCGTAATTACACTTTTCACCGTTCAACGATGTTAATATTTCTATTATATTTATCTCAAGGAATACACACTTTCTCTTTCAACCTTTAAAATACAGAAAAGAAATCTAGAAATTTTATTTTAATGAGCGGATCAAAAAGTTTAGATTCATGTTTTGTGTGTATAACGACGTTATCTATGACTGTTTAAAATTTATCCAATTTTTAATACTAAATTACAAATGAAAATAATAGCTCATCTTCTTACAACAGGAAATATAATTTTAATAAATGTGTTAATAATTTATCGCGCAATACCTTTCCATAGAATTTACTATATTTGCAATGGTTTAAATCAATAGACTATTGATTTCTCGTTTACAGAATTATAAATAAATTTAAGTAATAAATTAATATTATTTAAGTAGTGTATTACAAAAATCTCTCGATAGCAAAACTATCCCAGCAGATTAATTTCTGTAAAACTGGTCTACCAAAGTCTTTATTTAGGTATTAAATCTTTATTTAGCCTAAATAAAGACTATGTATGTTGACAGTTTACTCTGTCCGCTGAACAGGCTAGCTGTAACAAATTTTCTGCCAGTGTATGATATAAATATTGCCCTTCCAGAAAAGCTTAGTTTCCTAGCATACTTTATGTAGCAAATGAAATCATTACCCTTTTATTATAACGAAAATGTATCCTTTACCTTAACAATTATGAACAAAACTTAATTGAATGATAAACGTAATCAATCTTAATCAGAATTAGACGTAAGTCTGGTGACCGGTTTATGATTAGAAAGATTTTTTAATAAGATAGCAGGCAACTGCATGCAATTTTCTGTTTAAGACATAAAAATATTAAATTGCTCTTGGCTTAAAATATTTTGTGAAATATAATAATTGTTCGTAATACAAATTTCTCATAAAGCTTTATAAGGCATTTTCTCCCTCCTTTCTATATGCCTTTGTCGTATAACGGTAGCACATCCGGCACTTATTCGCGAGGTCCAGGGTTCGAGTCCCAGCGAGGGCACTACTCATTTTTCATGTACTCCAGCGTCAAAAAACCTAATGACTCTACAGCTTGTCATGAGTAATTTAAGTGCCATATAAACCTACGAAACAAATTATATTTTACATGATAAGAGAACAGAACAACAGCAGTTTCTATATTTATTGACTTTTATGGGATCGGACTTTAGGCTGGAGGAAAGCGTAACCGCTTAATCTATAAAAACGTAAATAGCAGTATTTATAATTTGCAAATTAGATGAAAAAGATATATATACATATTTATGTTATTTACAATGCATTTATTTATTTAATTAAAAAATTGGTGCTTTTTTTTTTTTTTTTTTTTTACCTTTAATGCTGAACTAGCTTTTCGAAGATGTTAGATTATAATCCGAAACTTAGAGACTGTAGTCTTTTCATTGCCTTTTAATGTTTCTTTTTTAAAAAAACTGAACAATATATAAGAATATCTGGGGATTTTCTGGACGCTCGCAGCTGGTGATATGTTGCAGTACGAAACTTTATTTGAATTAAATCCCACTCTAGTGGTTTTGAAGCCTTATTTTCTCTCTCCATGGATAACAGTAATTGGCATCTTTTGTATTCTTTGCGATTTCTTATGTCTTATGAAGCGAAATAAAGAAAACCGCAGTATGCTAAAAAAAAAAAAAAAAAAAAAAAACTTAGGAAGCCCTAATGCAGTAAATATAGTGTTGGACTCAATGTATTAGAATACTTTGTACAATGCCATAAAAACAATTCACAACTGCCGGCTCCTTAAAACGGGATTTGTAGAAATACGCTTACTTGCTAACAGTAAACAGCTTCATTTGCTAATAAAACCCAGTCATGCCTTTATGACTAAAAAGGAATCTATTATAAAGATTAAAATTTTAGCAATTAAAGAACTAAAGATAAGCTCAGAAATTTTTCAAAACTGAAATAAGCCCAGTTTTTGTTTTTCTTTCTATGGAAAGTGATACGTTGTCTCTGATTATTATATAATGCAATTTTTTTTTAAAAACTGTAATTGAGAAGAGCTCTTGTTTTTCTCTCTAGGCAAAATAATATATAGTTTCTGATCATTATGCAGTGTATTTTTATTTTTTCAAAACTGTAAGTAGAAGAGCTCTTGTTTTCCTTTCTAGGCAAAGTAATAAATTGTCTCTGATTATAATATAGTGTATTTTTTATTTTTCCAAAACTGCAATTAGCAGAACGCTCGTTTTTCTTTCTAGATAAAGTAATACATTGTTTCTAATTTTTTATAGAGTGTTTTTTATTTTTTCAAAACGGCAATTAGCAGAGCTGTTGTTTTTATTTCTAGGCAAAATAATAGGCTGTCTCTTTTTATATATTTTTTCTAGGCAAAGTAATACTTTGTCTATGGTTATTACATAGTGTATTTTGATTCTTTCAAAACTGTAATCAACAGAGCTCTTGTTTTTCTTTTTTGGCAAATTATTGTGTTGTTTATGAGTATTATATAGTGTATTTTTAACTAGAATGCGCTATCAGAATTTGATTCGTGGAATGAATCTTGATCAAAATAAAGCCATTGAAAGTGAGACAATAAAAAGAAGTATAATATACATGTGAAATGAAAACAGCGGATATTCAAATTCTTAACTTTTTAAGACGGTGTTTGTTCTATTACTAAGAATTAACTACATTTTGTTGATTTTCGGTGTTCCCAAATAATTTTAAAGATGGAATATAAGCATTAATACAAATACAGGAAAAATGGTAAGATTTATACCCTGGTTATTTGAATGTGTTTTAAATTATTTAGAATATTCTATCCTTTCCTGCTTCCCTTGTCTCTGTGATGAATATAACAAAAAAGACCGTAATTATTACGTCAACATTTATTTTAGATGCTCGTTCGTTTTGGTGATTCTTATTCTTAAGACCTTACGATACTGAGAGATATTTTTGTGCATTTGTGAGTGTGATATCTAATACGGAGCAAGAGCATTTAAAATCCGTTGCTGCGAAAATACCCTCTAGAGAATGCTGGAATAAGCAGATATGCGCTTTTCGTTCTATTCCTTGGTTGCTCTTGATCAAAATTAGTATGAAGTCAGTTTCGTAAATCGGCATTACTATAGTCCCAGATGACTACTCGCTACATAGAATGTTTTCATGGATTCATACACAATTAAGAATACCTCAATTCATCGAAACAAAAGCTAATGAAAATATGACCGGCTAAAATGAAACTGAATGAGAGGAACTACGATGCACATGCAAAATAAGAATAACAATTATTCAATTGCTTTACTATTTAATACGATCTACTAATAGCAAGAATTTATATATTTCATCATGTACTTATATTTACAACAACAGTATTCAACTTAAGAGCAATGCTTGCAGTTTTTATACACAACATCCAAAAAATATCCAAGTGCAGAAAAAGTTACCTGAAATTTCTATGAAAGTCCATATAAGTAAATAAACAAAACCCCTCTGCTTTCGATACCATGTAGTAGCAGCATTTATAAGCTGTAAATTACATGAAAAAGATATCCATAAGTGTTTATATTATTTTATATTATTTACAATGAGTATCTGAAATTGTATTGAACTTGTAGAGATAAATGAATTGAAACTTCAAAATTAGCACTTGATTAAAAATTGTCAAGCTTTTGTTTTTAATTATTTGCTTTATAATTTTCATTTACAGTCACTTCTAAATAGGAATTTTTTTCTTAATTAAAATTTAATTCCCCCTTCACCTCCTTTTTTAGCATGATATTCTCCTACGCATTTTGACTCCTTGCTGTAAGACCAAAGTAAGCATAAGAGAGAGAAGTACGAAACAGATAAGCGTAATTAGAGAGAAATACGAACAACGTAACCAGAGTGAAGCTGGTTATTATTTGTGACTTACACATGGAAAACTTCGAAAGATCTATAGAATAAACCTTCATCTACTCGTTATTTAAATTTATGTTTAAATTAATAAACAATAGGGAGGTTTTACGATTTACTCATGTTCTATTCAAAAGTAATGATATAAAAATTTATAAGAAAATGTATGAAAAAACTAAAAAATGTTTATGGCCATCATTTATTTCTTTGAAGCCGGCGAACACTTGGACACTTGTAAGCTATACTGGCGTTCAACAGCTCTTTCTAGTCATCTCAACTTCAAGTAGGAGGCTAAAATTGAAAGTTCCTGAATTGATCTCCTTCGGAAGGGCATGAAAATGGAGAGAAGTGAGGGCCTTTGCCCGAGTTCGCAGTGCATCATTTGAGACTGAGATTTAGAAATCATGAGAAACTGAGCTGGCTGCGGCTCTGATATATTGGAAAATGCGTCAGGTATATCTGGAGGATAGGCTGGCTTCAGTCTTGGAAGAGAGATAGTCAGTGACCAATGAGCGTGGGGAGGCGATTGCGCTTCGTTTCGGCCTTTTCAAGCAATTTCACTGTTCAATGTGCAATTTGCAGCTTTTCTAAGGAGGATACCAGGTAACGAGATGATGGTTAAGTGCAAAGCGTG